TCCATTAAATATCCACGTATGATATACAGAACCAATGAAACCACGGGAATTAAGAAAAAGAAATCAGTCAGCATTTTAAGTAAATAATACCGGAAAAACCTTAACAAATCATTTATTTATGAATTTTTATTGAATGGGCTCCCTTTTCATATTTATAGTCCACGATACATACACGATTTACTCGTCTAATGGACATTATCTATAGGATTGAAATTAGAATACAACATACAAGTACATCCTCTTATAAGAGGATGTACTTATATGTTGTATTCTAATTACAAGTACATCCTCTTATAAGAGGATGTACTTATATGTTGTATTCTAATTTCAATCCTATAGATAATGTCTATTAGACGAGTAAATCGTGTATGTATCGTGGACTATAAATATGAAAAGGGAGCCCATTCAATGAAAATTCATAAATAAATGATTTGTTAAGATTTTTCCGGTATTATTTACTTAAAATGCTGACTGATTTCTTTTTCTTAATTCCCGTGGTTTCATTGGTTCTGTATATCATACGTGGATATTTAATGGAGATGCCTATTTCATGTATACCGGATTGATTTTTCATTTATTGTTTAAACAAAAAGAAAAAAAAATCAATTGTCATAGGGAGAATTTTGTTCCTGAATATGCCAGACATTTTAACAAAGTTAAGTCGTTATGATATTTGCCTCCATCCCGACTAATTGTTGAGTAAATAATGATAAATGAATTCGTTCGTCATTGTTTATCATTTTTTATCAATCAAACGGTTCAGTGAGGGGAAAAATAATGAAGACCAATTTTTTTTGAAATGTTTTGAATAATAAAAAAAAATGTTTTCCCATNCTTTTTTGAAATGTTTTGAATAATAAAAAAAAAAATGTTTTCCCATTGAAAATCGATTTTTTGTTTTGAAACAAATTATCTCAAAGAATAATTTGGAATACACGGAGTAGATTCCTTAATGAATCATATGTATCATAAAAAACAAGCAATTGCGTGAAATGTGAAAGAAAATTTAATCAACATTTTTAGTAGGCAATATCGAAGAAACCTCAAAAACCCATTTACTGTCCCAACTGTAACAATTTCCCCACCCTTCTATGACCGTCACAATTGGTCAAGAAAAAATGACAGTCATTTTTTATCTATACAGATACGAGCTNGTCTAGGTTCATGGAGAAAACTCAGAGTTGACTCTGGGTTATGTCCATGAACCCAGAGTCAACTCTGGGTTTAATTCATCAGGGACATCATCTGTTTATGAATTCATATTGATGAAACCGTTGCAAATACGGAAAAATGTTTCAGGACATAATTTCTTCGCAATGTTGGGTGTTTCTATAGGAAACAAAATTCTGTCCAAAAGAGTCAATTTGTCAATTGTTTACATACTAAGAAGATCAGGTCAATATAGAGAGGAAGGACTTTTGAAAATTTTTCCAATTCTTCAAATTCGGTTCACTGAGTCTGAATTGATTCATTATTTTGGGCTTTTTTGGGGTTCAAATGCCAGCTGAGTGACGTGAACCCGAATACTGCAAACTGGGTGAAATAAAGGAGCAGAAATTAATCTCCGAATTTCTTCGAACGTGCTCGGACACCCTAGAATTTCCTCGAATTTTGTTTAAAAACTCTAAATATTCTTGAAATTTTTTCGAAAACTGGAGAATTTTTAGGAATTTTCGCAAAAACCGCAGAATTCTCTCGAAAATCGGAAATATTTCTCGAAAACTTCATAGTCAACATAAGAAGATCTACCGGAAAAAATAAACACGAACAAAATAAGAAACAAAAACTGCGGGGCTCCTTCCAAGCCCCACTTTTATATGTCACCCTGGTTTCCTGCGATTCCCGTAGTTACCGAGATAGCTATGGTCGGGATAAAGCTTCTTGCTTTGACCGCAAACTGGGGGGGCGTAAAATCGCCACTCGGGAAAACAATCCCTCCAACCGGGCCTTAAATATCCAAAGTTATAAACACTTATNAGGACATAATTTCTTCGCAATGTTGGGTGTTTCTATAGGAAACAAAATTCTGTCCAAAAGAGTCAATTTGTCAATTGTTTACATACTAAGAAGATCAGGTCAATATAGAGAGGAAGGACTTTTGAAAATTTTTCCAATTCTTCAAATTCGGTTCACTGAGTCTGAATTGATTCATTATTTTGGGCTTTTTTGGGGTTCAAATGCCAGCTGAGTGACGTGAACCCGAATACTGCAAACTGGGTGAAATAAAGGAGCAGAAATTAATCTCCGAATTTCTTCGAACGTGCTCGGACACCCTAGAATTTCCTCGAATTTTGTTTAAAAACTCTAAATATTCTTGAAATTTTTTCGAAAACTGGAGAATTTTTAGGAATTTTCGCAAAAACCGCAGAATTCTCTCGAAAATCGGAAATATTTCTCGAAAACTTCATAGTCAACATAAGAAGATCTACCGGAAAAAATAAACACGAACAAAATAAGAAACAAAAACTGCGGGGCTCCTTCCAAGCCCCACTTTTATATGTCACCCTGGTTTCCTGCGATTCCCGTAGTTACCGAGATAGCTATGGTCGGGATAAAGCTTCTTGCTTTGACCGCAAACTGGGGGGGCGTAAAATCGCCACTCGGGAAAACAATCCCTCCAACCGGGCCTTAAATATCCAAAGTTATAAACACTTATTCCAATTTTCACATACACTAGACACTCTCGCGAACTAATTCCCGTTAAAAGAACTACTTTTGACTATTTTTCCGGAGTTGTTCCGAAGGGATTAGACGCCGCTAACTCCCACAATCAGTGGAATCGGAATTGAGGCGATCAGCTGTCGCCATACTGTCTCGCTCAGTTATGGAAAAATGTGCCAGATGGCGCCACTGAAACCCCCGAAACTCGGCGTATGGAAATGAGNAAAATTTTTCCAATTCTTCAAATTCGGTTCACTGAGTCTGAATTGATTCATTATTTTGGGCTTTTTTGGGGTTCAAATGCCAGCTGAGTGACGTGAACCCGAATACTGCAAACTGGGTGAAATAAAGGAGCAGAAATTAATCTCCGAATTTCTTCGAACGTGCTCGGACACCCTAGAATTTCCTCGAATTTTGTTTAAAAACTCTAAATATTCTTGAAATTTTTTCGAAAACTGGAGAATTTTTAGGAATTTTCGCAAAAACCGCAGAATTCTCTCGAAAATCGGAAATATTTCTCGAAAACTTCATAGTCAACATAAGAAGATCTACCGGAAAAAATAAACACGAACAAAATAAGAAACAAAAACTGCGGGGCTCCTTCCAAGCCCCACTTTTATATGTCACCCTGGTTTCCTGCGATTCCCGTAGTTACCGAGATAGCTATGGTCGGGATAAAGCTTCTTGCTTTGACCGCAAACTGGGGGGGCGTAAAATCGCCACTCGGGAAAACAATCCCTCCAACCGGGCCTTAAATATCCAAAGTTATAAACACTTATTCCAATTTTCACATACACTAGACACTCTCGCGAACTAATTCCCGTTAAAAGAACTACTTTTGACTATTTTTCCGGAGTTGTTCCGAAGGGATTAGACGCCGCTAACTCCCACAATCAGTGGAATCGGAATTGAGGCGATCAGCTGTCGCCATACTGTCTCGCTCAGTTATGGAAAAATGTGCCAGATGGCGCCACTGAAACCCCCGAAACTCGGCGTATGGAAATGAGAATTGTCGAGCGGATAGCTCAGGGGTGTAACCCAATGAGGGCCCACGGGTACCAAGCATTCCTGCATCTCACTCCCACTCGTGGAAATAGAGCAACACACTGTATTGCACTTTCCTACAGCCGTAACAATAATAATAACACTAATAATAATAATAATAATAATGATAATTGACAAAAATAACAAAACAAGTGAAACTCACCGTGTTTGCGCTAAATTTCAGGAAAAGCTCCAATATAGAAAATTTTTGAGAAAATTCGCCGATTCTCTAATCAAAAATCCGATTTTCAAAAACAAAAAATCTAACTCTCAATTCACAAAAACTCTCAATTCGCAAGTTGAGAGTTGAATTTTTGATTCTCAATAATCTCTCAATCTACTCTCACCTTTTTTTTAGAGTTGAAAATTGGATTATTGATTCTGAATAATCTCGCAATCTAATCTCCAGTTTTTCTGAGAATTGAGAACTGGATTTTTTTTTGACAATGGGATTTTTGATTCTCAATTATCTCTCAATTTATTTTCAGATTTGCATTTTGGAAATTGAATTTTTGATCATCAATTGCCTTTCAATTTACACTCAACTTTTCCAGAGTTGAGAATTCGTTTTTTTTTTTAATAAGATGCAGATAGAGCTGCGAATGCATTACATGACCTGTCATTGACGGTCATATGACGAGACGTTTTCCACAACTGTCACAATTTCCGAAATGTGATTCGAAATTCGCGCCAATTTCCCAAGCAATGCCATCTGACAGTAACTTTCCGAAGCTCGTTCTCATTCGAGTTCGACTTCCAGAGAAATCGATTCGACTTTTCTCAATTCGAGTTCTCATTCGGCAGCCATTATGCTTTCCTTTTTATTAAAGGATCATTATTGAGGTTAACACTGATGTCGTCGAAATTGAGTATTGAAAATCCGCCCAATTCACTTGTTTCCTCCCCACTACGTCATCGCTGAAGCATGAACTGAAATTACAAAGGCACGAACCCACCCATTCATTTCTGGCCTATACTCCGTGCAACACTGCTTTCCGTAATCAATTTTAACTCGGTTACGAACTTTAGTTGACTAGTGTACAGTTGTAGAAGTACGAATGGAGCCCCCCCCTTCGGACTCCGGCCCTTCTATTCTCCATGGGTGGGGGACTTGGAGTCGGAGCTAAATTCGAGAGAGTAGGGGTACCCAGCCACAATCATTCCTTTGTGGCAAGAACTATAACTATCCCCACTTCCAGTCGCGAGAATCCAACTCCGGAATTATTCTGAAATAATAATTTACAAGAGAGAGACTTCAGTTTAATATGTTCCATTTGGAACACAAATAAATATCATTTCAAGCAAAAATATTTTTTATTCGTTCCAAATTTAGAATAGAGAATAAGAGTTATGAATGAAGAAATGTTAATTTCAAATTTCAGTTAATTTTTATTAAGAATTTTGAGGAAATTAGAATATTCTAATTTTTGTTCCAACTACAGTGATTTCGAGGGCTAATGATGGTGCTCCTTGGTGAATCTGAGGCCACAGTATCCACAAGTATGGTTCCCAGGCTTATCCTGAGAAAAAATGAGAGAAAATTAAACTCGAGATTTTGGGAGAATTGTTCAATTTACAAGATTCAGGCCCGGTTGCACTAAGCCCATGTTCAGCAAATAAACCCTAGGTCGAAATTTATGTTCTGAGTGAATTATATTGCAGAAGTCATAATTTTTGGATATTCAGCATGAATCATAATTATTTTGCTTCAAAATAGAAGTTATGTAATTGGGTGTTTTTTTTTTCGATTTTCATCAGAGTTCCTGAAGAAAATTTCATCTTCCTCGTTTCCACTCAGATCTGACTTTCTTTGGACCTCTCGACCCGCTTCTGGACCATGCTACCTACTGAGACTGTTGAATAAGATTTTGATGATGGAAGACTTTCCCTGTGCCTAGACTGAATCAGTCCTGTTCATGCTGCACAAAAAAGATCCACCAGCGGACCCTTTTAATTACAGAGGTATCGCTCTCGTCAACTCTGGTGCCAAGATTTTCACTCAGATCCTGAAGGACAGGCTTTATAACTGGGCCATAATTTAGAATCTTATCCCATAGAAACAAGCTGGTTTTGTTAAAAGGAGAGGTACTGCAGATAATATATTTATCCTTCAGTCGGGTGTACACCTGAAACTCCGTCTCAAGGATGGTAAACTCTGTGCGATATTTATCGATTTCAAAAGGCCATTTGACTCTGTACCACATTAGCAACTCTGGACATATCTGTACAACCTGGGTATGAGCTCAAAGATCCTGCGCATTCTCATAATATTCTACAACCAGGCTTCTCTCCAAGTGAGAACTCGTTCAGGTCTCACCGATTCAGCTGAAGTCAGCGAGGCCCAGTCAGTATCCAATCTTCACCTGAACGATCAGAAGGTTGATGTGGTGGACGGCTACACTTATCTTGGTGTAAGCTAGCCTCCAAGGAAGTGTGCAGAAAGACCAAAGTTGCAGCCGGTCCGGTCATGTCCATCCTCACCTCTGCAAAAGCGAACTCCTGGTCCAGTATCTGGAGACTCCACAACAGTCTAGCCTCTTCAGCTCTTCTTTACAGCGCTCAACTCTACGGTCTACGATATATACAGTACTTCGGAACAGTCCAAGACTAAGGAAACGGTCGGTAATCTACGAGAATAGTTGAAATAAAAAATGTACCTTATTAAAAAATACATAATTTTTCTTTCATAACCTTTTTCCCTAACTTCAACGGTTAAACAAAATACTTTGATAGAAATGAGGAAAAGTAGCCTTAATTGTCATCCAACGTGATATGAAATCCGAGTTATCTTGGTCACAGAAACAGTCAACATATTCATATTCAGGGACGCCAAAAACAAAGTCCAATAATAAAATTTAGTGGACCTAAAAAGTGTTATATTAGACATTCGGTGATATTGTTAGCGACGTTTTAGAGGCAGCACTCGCGGTCTTTTCGTTCACATATGGCCGTAAATAATCGGAGAAGAGAAACAAGTTCATAATGAAAATTATTGATCTAGAAACGGCTAGAAAATGCATCACTTCACAATTTGACAAATTGAAAAATTAACCAAGATAACTTGGATTTCATATCACGTTCAATGGCAATAGGGGCTATTTTTACCCATTTCCATAAAATTATTTCGTTAACCGTTGAAGTTATGGAAAAATATTATAAGACAATAATTATGTATTTTTTGACGCAGATACGTCTATGGTTTCAATATGGAGGGTCATTTTGGGAAACGGTCCTTACGTGCATCGGCATCTATCGGAATTCTAGAAAATTCCAGACATTTCAAGGTAATTCGAGAAATTTCTTGAAATTTCGAAAAAAATTCAAGGAGTTTCTAGAAATTTCGAGGAAATTCAGGGAGTTTCTAGAAAATTCGAGGGAATTCAAGGAATTCCTAGAAAATTCGAGAGAATTCAAGGAGTTTCTAGAAATTTCGAGGAAATTCAGGGAGTTTCTAGAAAATTCGAGGGAATTCAAGGAATTCCTAGAAAATTCGAGAGAATTCAAGGAGTTTCTAGAAATTTCGAGGAAATTCAGGGAGTTTCTAGAAAATTCGAGGGAATTCAAGGAATTCCTAGAAAATTCGAGAGAATTCAAGGAGTTTCTAGAAATTTCGAGGAAATTCAGGGAGTTTCTAGAAAATTCGAGGGAATTCAAGGAATTCCTAGAAAATTCGAGAGAATTCAAGGAGTTTCCAGAAATTTCGGGGGAATGCAAGGAGTTTCTAGGAAATTCGAGAAAGAAGGAAAGACCATGGACGTATCCACATACTATTACAGCTGTATCGAAGATACAGCTTATTAATTTAATTTTTTTTTCAATTAGGAATATTTTTCATTTCAACTATTTTCATTTATTCCCAACCGTTTCCATTGTAATAACCTGAGCGGAGAGCTTTCAGAGGTGATAAGTATTAAAGATAGGAATAAAAATAATATATGTATTACAAAATATACGTATTTTTAAACGAGGAACATTTTTTGTTTGAAACTTTATAAACAACTAAATTGTTATAAATAAACAGAACTAACCACATCTCGTAAAAGCGGTTAACATATTCATATTCAGGGACCCCAAAAACATAAAGTCTAATGATAAAATTCAATGGGCCTAACAGTGTATACGGAACCTGTCACAACGTATAGACTACCCTGGTCAATTAATCCATTAACTTTCCAAATTTTTTCTTAATCTACAATTTAGTTAACTGAAGCAACCGTACAAAACCATTTTCAGTAAATGAACCCTAGGGTAAAATTTATCTTCGGAGCGAATTGTATCTTAAAGGTCATAACTTTTTTAATATTCACCGTGAAGAATATTCTTCTATTTATCGTGTAGCCTTATTCGAGTTAATACTGATTTACCCCCCTGGGATTAATTTTTTCTTTCTTCCTGAGATTAATTTTAGATACTCCTCTGGTAAAATAATCCATCGGACTTCTAAATTTCCATTTTTTCTTAACTCACGATTTAGTTGACAGAAGCTGATGCAACCGAGCCTCAATGAATATTTTTCATTTCATGCATACGGTAATATTGAATTTACCAGGTTTATGTAGACTTTCGGGTGACCCAGGGGTCCTCCGCCCCCATTGCAACAGATAATTCTTGCTTCAGTGCTAGTAGGAGAGACTTCATCGATCAAGTTAATTGCCCAACGATCGTTAACTTCCTTAGGTCGGTCAATGAAACGTACGAGTCTCCTGTCGTCCGCATCAAATTTCTGAGAAGATTATTGATAATCATCAATATTTGGTGACTGAATGATACGATTTAGATAAATCAAAGTTCATTTTAATGTCTGAAAAATGAATAAATTGCCAAAGTTCTCAAACTTTCGCAGTTTAGCATTGAATTTCAAGAGATCCTGACGTAACCAAACATTCAGGCCTTTCAAGCCATCAACCCAAGAAGAAGAAATTTGACGTACTTGACCCGTGTGAGTGATCTTATCCCGAGGCTCCCAGGACGCATTCAATCGAGTGATGACTGAGACACGGGAGATGCGAGAGACCACCGTGGGTTTTACGGAGTGTGTTAGCAATAGGGATAAACTCCTTCCTGCCATTTTCACATACGGAGATATCAGCTTTATTAGTCAAGAGATTATTTAGGGGGGGGGGGCGTTAGTACTTCCACAACTGTACAGTCGTCAAATTAAGTTCTGGGAGTAACTAGACGTTTTCTGGTAGGGTGGGTTGCATGAAAGAATGGGATCAAAAGGAACGACCCAACCCAACCTCTAGCAACAAACGTCTAGTTACTCCAGAGATTATAGGGGAGATGAGCAGGGCCAATGGAAAGTGTTAAACCAGAGATAATAGGGGAGATTGCTCAGGCTTATGGGAACTGTTCGATCAGAGTTTGATAGCGGTGGCGCGCATGAACTAATCGAGAGGCCGTCTCTGTGGGTAAAGAAATTTTCATCTATTACCATGGAAACAGTCGATAACAGGGATGCGTTCCCAATCTTAAATCCAACATGAAACCTCCTTTGCATTCACTCATCCGCTTGATTATCCCATTTTCGTTCATACAACTTCTTATTGTCTTAATTTGTAAATTAGTTGATCATAAAGGAGAGGGAGAGAAGGAATTATGAAGTCTTGAGCGAAAGAGGATCATTTATTTGAATTTCTATACAACTAGATCTTTAATAAAAAAAAAAATACGAGCAATTCATCTTATTCACATTTATTACATATTTTGTCAGTGATACAAAGGTAATGAATGAATTTCAAATTATTTTGATGAGAAATATATTCAATATTTGTGAGAGATTATATCTCAACAAATCTCATACACATAATGGGATTAAATCAATAATAATAGATTAACGAATGAGACTTTTCGCAGATTATTGCGAGATTTAAATGAATGGTTTGCATTCTTCAGTGACCATAAAAAATTGTCTCCAATCGACAATATCTCCCGATGGAATGGAACGATGTGAATTAATCAATTGATACTTAAGTATCAATTTGAATCTTTAAAAAATTAATCGAGAGTGAAAAAAAATCAGGGAATTTAACTCTGCCATTATGGAGTTTTTGACGAGTGAAGTTTATTCACTGTCCTCTGACATTTCTCTATTGTCTGTATTTACCGAGAAAAAAAAACGTTGTTCCTAGGAATCGATGTGTCTTTTTTAGGCAGCTGCATTTCTGAAATGCAATGAGCAAGCAATGTTAAAATTAAGTCATTTTGTAAAAAATTTCTAGTGACATGATCCTGAAAATCAAAGGAATGTCTTGAAATCAGGAATGATGTCTGTAAGTTTCAGTAATATTTTCGCAGAAATTCCGGGAACTTATTGGGAATTTTTATAGCGTTGCCGTAATACGGAAATTTCAAGGAATTTCGTCATTGCAAATTAAAAATTTCTATAAATTTCAGTCCAATTATATGTGTACGTCCACGTGAAAAGGGCCCACTTTGTCGCATCTAATTTCCGAGATATTCACGTTTTTCTCTCCTCTCCATTTATCCCAAAGTTAAATTGATTTTTTGATCTTCTATACGGACGTCACACGGAGAAAAATAAATCGGTAAAAGTCTTGTGATCGCAAGGAGTTTCCCGAAGATCCCCATTTTTCATGCACGAAGAACAATGAAGCTTTTTGGAATCTTCGGGAAATTCTATTCTATCCTACTCAAGTAGGAGCGGAGGAATGAATTTTCAAAAGTGCGGACTAACCGGAGGGGCTCCTCCGATAGGGAAATTCATTTCTCCCCCCCCCAATTACGATGAAAGAATGAAAGCAATATCTATCGATGGAGAATTATATTCTCAATAAATTACAGCGGTTTCATTGCTTAATCTTTATTAGGAGAGGAGGAATGAATTTTCAAAGCGTGCAGTAACTCCGGACAAGTTCTTCTCATTCAAAAATCAATTTCTCGCCTCCCTAATTGAGATGAAGGAATGAAACCAAAGCTTACCGATTGAGAATTATATTTTTATTAAATGACATCGGTGTCATTTCTTAATCTCAGATAGGAACGGAGGAATAAATTTTCAAAAGCGCGGAGAAACCTCGAACGGTGAGCCCGGAGGGGCTCCCCCGATTGGAAAATTCATTTCTCCCCCCCCCCCTAATTGAGAGAAGGGAATGAAACCGACGCCGATCGATCGAGAATTAAATTCTCAATGAATGACAGCGGTTTTATTCCTTAATCTCACGTAGGAGCGGAGGAATGAATTTTCAAAAGCGCAGAGTAACCCCGAACGGCTCTTCGGAGGGCCTCCCCCAATTGGAAAAGTCATTTCTCCCCCCCTAATTACGATGAAAGAATGAAAGCAATATCGATCGATGGAGAATTATATTCTAAATAAATGACAGCGGTTTCATTGCTTAATTTCTATTAGGAGAGGAGGAATGAATTTTAAAATCGTGCAGTAACTCCGGACAAGTTCTTCTCATTCAAAAATTAATTTCTCCCCTCCCTAATTGAGATGTAGAAATGAAACCAAAGCCTACCGATCGACCATTGTATTTTTAATAAATGACATCGGTTTCATTTCTTAATCTCCGTTAGGAGCGGAGGAATGAATTTTCAAAAGCGCGGAGAAACCCCGAACGGCTCTCCGACGTCGAGTGAGCTCGGAGGGACTCCCCCGATTGGAAAATTCATTTCTCCCACCCTAATTGAGATGAAGGATTGAAGCCGATGCCGATCGATCGAGAATTAAATTCTGAATAAATGACAACGGTTTCATCCCTTAATCTCAAGTAGGAGCGGAGGAATGAATTTTCGAAT